GTCTGTGGTCTTCAAAAACAACGATATGTATCGAATGCGAAACTGATGTATTCACAAACAATCGCGATTGGTCTGTTTTGTTACATCATGGAAAATGGCCTTCACATCGTTTGTCAGTTATTTCTTCCTCTTGGGAGCTAATTATGGAGGCCAGGGGATKAGACTTCAACGTGAAGAAAAGACAATTCATGACTAAGAGATCGATCGTTTAATGACCTGGGCTGTACAGTCCAAAACATTTTTCATTGTCCGCCCGTCACTCCACGCCTCGCGATTGACACTATCATCAAGAGTGTCCTATTTTTGTTGCTCTATTTCAGGCGATAAAAATGAATAAAAAATGAGGAAAATAAATCTCGTGTAAAAAGTTGCAAATTTCGGTCAAGAATCAAAGTTTATTTTTCCTTGGAGTTCGAACCTTGTGGTGTAACTTACAGCCGTACGTGCTGTGTGCGATTTTTTCTCCCAGAAAACGACGGAAATGTACATACTTAATTTGCCACCGCTTGGTGAAAAGTCAAGTAGGCTCAGGACGGTTATATTTCCAGAATTCAATTATGTAAACGAGATTAACGTACGACAGTCACGTCTCCGGGGTATCACTGGGACCCATCTTCACTGGCATAAATCATCCTTAAGGAGCGATTACACGGAGCGATTTTCTCTGCAACTTGTCTCGCAACAGTGTTGCGACACAAGTTGCACGAGTGTTTACACGGTGCAACGGAGACGCAATCGTTGCCAAAAGTAGAAACTAATTCTACTTTTTGCGACAATTGCTACAACTTATCTCGTAACGTTTTGTTCAAATTGTGTTGCAGGTTACACGATGCAATGGCCCATGCAAGGTCGCAACGCCGTTCCGAGACAAGTTGTAGGGAAAATTACTTCGTGTAATCGCGGCTTTAGYGGCGTCGGCTTCAGGTGCTGGTAGTAAAAGACCTACCTGTGACACAGCGCAAGTCTATAAAGGGGCCTAGACTCGGAGGGAGGGAAAGGGGGGGGGGGGTACTCCCATATATGGACTATACGGGGATGATCCACTGAATAGGGTATGGTTTTTCGAGCTTCTTGTTATAGACAGGGTGTGCAATTTCACTCAAGTTCCAAGTTCTTTCCGAGTTTCCTGTCATATTTTCAGGGTTTCTACTTTCGTATTGACCCCCCCCCCCCCCAGGCTCTAAAAACACCGGTTTCTTGATATCCTGTTAGGAAGTATTACTATTTTTAAAGGGGTCATGCAGTGACGTTATCTACTCTGACCAAAATATCCGCTAGTTTTACACTCAGTATTAAATAAGAGACGAAAAAATCAACCGAGTCAGATCAAAGGAGAAYTTCTTAGTAACCTTATCCAACTCGAAATCGAAAAAGCATTTCTCTTCTTTCCCTCGTTTCTATAATGGCATATTCTCCATGGTTTTCAAGGACTTTTTTGTGTAAAGTCTTTCATGGGGGTAAAAGCCTTGTTTACTATTTTCTTTTCAGTCGATCGAATCATTGCCTGAACATTTCGAATGCTTTGAAGAACCAACCACCGGTTGATTCTGTTATGACAAGTCAAGTGCCGGGAAAACCACACGGACTGACAGCGAAGGTCACTCACCTTCGCCGAACTATTTCTACCGCGTACTGCGTATTTTCAGCTCCATTTCAACGCTAAACAAGTTACAACCAGTTTTTCGACTTGATAGTCAAGTTAATGGACCACTTTATCTTCGTTGTCCCATTTCAGACCATGYGATGCCACTTTTGGGACTGAGTTGATTCTTTCATGTGTAAATATTTTAAAAGAAAGGTTCTCACGTGGTCACGAGGTCTGAAATGGGCAATTTTCATACGAAGGTAAATGGGTCTATTGATTTCAATCAACCCGCGAAAAAGTGATGAATAAAAAAGGGCATTTAGTTATATGGTCAAGAACTGAGGAGAAATTAAACCGCTATTTCAAGTACATTACTATCTTCTAGAATTTTGTTAGAAAATTTCATTTCTTTGGTAATACTTGGTAGATCACTATACCTTGACTTTAGACATGGTTAGGTGCATGGTTGGTTGGGAGGGGAGGGGGTGGGGGAGGGATGTTGGGGTTATCGTATGCAGATGTCTTCTAGGAAAAGAGGAACCCTTTGCAAAGCAGGCTAGTGTCACTAGTGTAAATTGTATTAGCTGATATACAGGAAACATAAAAGATGATGTTCCGAGCTTCGTACGTCTGGTCTGAAAGTATCCGCCGCATTTGTATAATTACTGAAGAAACTCTTTCACTGTCTGTGAGTTCAACTGTCCGCAGTGAGTTTCGCGGTCTAAAAGTGAATTTCACGGTCTACAAGTGAGTTACACGGTCTACAAGTGAGTATCACAGTCTAAAAGTGAGTTTCACGGTCTACAAGTGAGTTTCATGGTCTACATGCAAGTGAGTTACACGGTCTGCAAGTGAGTTACACTGTCTACAAGTGAGTTACACGGTCTGCAAG